CTCTTCCGATCCTTTCTAATGGCTGAGGACTGGGATCTCTTTGCCATCGTTCGAAGCTGCCAATCACCCACCACACCAATTCCACAAACCACCACCGATACTTCCTCTTCCACTCTCAACCAACAACAACAATATGATGCATTTTCTTTTCCCAACATACTGCAACAACCTACAACAAATGAGCTACACCAATTGTTCACACCCTTTAACCCCACCACCACCACTTCCACTACTGCTCTTACCATCAATCCCAATTATTTTCCCCAACACCAAACCCTTCTTCCTCCTCCACCCACTCACACCTCTACTTATTGGCCTCATCTTCTGCCACAACCCTCCACTCAAACACTCCAACAACACAACAATTCTCCCACTGCAGTTTCACAACCTCAAACACCCAAATCAAGAAAAAGGTATCAACTTTTCCATCCATAATCAAATTCACTCAAAATCTATATTTTCATTCACAATTCCCCATTCCCGTTTTGCAGAAAAAATCAACAGAAGAAAATGGTGTGCCATGTAACCGCAGATAACCTCTCAGCAGATTTGTGGGCATGGCGCAAATACGGACAAAAACCAATTAAGGGTTCTCCGTATCCAAGGTATACTTATATATATATACTATAAATCATGATTGCCAAATTCAAACCAGTTTTCACATCCATTTTCCGTTATACCTAATTTACAGGAACTACTATAGGTGCAGCAGCTCCAAAGGTTGTATGGCTCGAAAACAAGTTGAACGAAGTAACACTGAAACCGACATGTTCATCGTTACGTACACCGGGGACCACTCGCATCCCCGACCCACCCACCGGAACTCGCTCGCCGGAAGTACCCGGACCAAGACACCCACCTCCAATCCACCCTTGTCACCCACGCAAACCAGCAACCCCTTTTCTTCTTCTTCTTCGCCGCCACACTCTCCCACCACGCCGTCGGAAGACCCACCGGAAACCGCCGAAGAAGAACCCGACCCGGAAATGGAAACCGACGTCGAAGATGACGGTGACATTCGGTAACCCATCACAGCCTCCTTGTCCTGCAAGTCTCATGGAAGCGACGTCGTTTCCCGGAACCAAACCGGTTCGAGTTTCTCTTTTTATTCATGTCCGGTTCAGATCTCCGGACCGGTTCTCCTTCAATGATGACCGTCGGATTATCCGGACGCGCTGTCTGATTCTCATTTTCCAATTCAAAGTCAATAATCTGCCACGTGGGTAACGTATTTAATTTTTTTTTTTTTTCTTTTGATCAAACAGACTAAAAATAGATATTTTTTGTTTAATGAGATTGGTGACCAAGTCAAACCTCAAGTTTCTACATCATTGTCAACACGCCAAGCATAACGCCAAAGCACATCCAATTTAAATTCAGCCCAAGTTTAATCTCATTTTCTAGTCCTTTTTTTTAATCATTTTGATTCCGTTTGTGTAAATAAGATAATCATAAGAATATACCTGGCATTTAAGAAAAATGTAAGTTTGAATTTCGTTGTCTATACGAAAATTTTATTCAAACCTTGAAACTTATCTTAATGAATAAAGAAAGTGTTTGACACCCCAGAATTTTGTATAAGGTTGGAATAGGGGGAAAAGGAGAAAAAAGGGTGCATTTGCATTTTTAGGTCAAATCTAGCTAGATAAGGCCCACACTTGAGAATAAACAAAGAGTAGGATGCGTTCCAGATATGGTCTAGTAATTACGATAAGTTTTAAAGCTGGTGTGCGTGATACATCAAGGACCATTGTTGAATGGTTATTATATGATGCAACATGGGTAGTGCAAAATTAATGCACGTAAAATCTAAATTCGTGAGTAGTGATATCATAGGATCAAATTACCAAGTAAGGGATAATTAATTAGGGAAATTTGAATAAGAGATGATAGATATGGTTGACTTTGTCTTACATGCATCATGTTTAGTGTTAGAGTTCATATTTTCAAACACGTGTTTCTCCCATCTCCATGCGTGTTGCACAAAAGAGAAACAAGTGTTGTTTCTCTCTCACACACTAGATTGTGAATGTTTTAGTAACAGTGGCAATTTGACTTGCAGGACTTGAACTAGGTTCACCACGTATCTTCCACATTTGAAAGAGTATAAGATGCGAACATATATAGTAGTAGATTTCTAAAAGCCTTTTCCATTGACGTAACTATATAAATACTTATATATAGATACACAAGTTAATGGTTTACGAATTAATAACCCAATTTATCAAAAAAGAACATCGACAATAATTAATATAATCATTTAATTCTTTAAAATAGACAAATATTTATGACTAGTATCATGTATTATACAGGATACATTTCTTATTTTATACAACTAAATTTATAATAAAAAAATATTTTTAGTATATAAATTATATTATAATTAATATTTGTAATAAATAAATTATTTTCATCACATAAATTTTATTTCAGATTTATGGTAAATAATTTATATTGTTATACAAAGCTACCAATAAATATATTTTTTTTAATTTGTTAAACTTTATTTCTTTGTCTTTAAATTCCAACTTTTTAAAAAATTTATTAGTGTGTGTGTGTGTATTTATATATTAAAAATTATTTTTCACAAATCTCAAAATGTTTATATTTCAAAATTTTCTTTTTATTTTTTTTAACTTAGTTTTTTCTCTTAGACCTAAATACTTATATTGTTTATTTATTTAAACTAATTATTCATATCTTTATTATAATTTTAAGTATTTCCCAAATTAATTTTTTAAAATTATACTTATATTAAAAAAATATCAGTGCAATGTACAATATATATTTACTAATGTTATTGCGTGTTAATTTTTTATTTTAAAAAATTCCTTCACATATACTATTTAGATTCGTCCTTGTTTGGCTGCTTCAAGGTACTAGAGTTATTTTTAACAATCTATTTGCTTTTAAGGTTTTAAACCTAATTTGTATGTTATATTTTTAGCTTAATATTATTGTATTTTAAATTATTTTATCTCCAAATAATAACTAACATTATTTTATTTCATTCCGCTCGTGGGTTTCATACTCCGACTAACCCACATTGGCAACAACTTCCAATTCAAGCCTGGGCCTAACCAACCATGGGCCTCTTTAATTTGGCCTCCATTTTGCTTCATTGACATTGCTAGAAAAACGAGTAAAAAACTAAATAGTAAATGCTCAACGAATGCATGAACAGAAAATAACACGAGATATTTTTAGCAAAATATAAATAAATAAATAGTTAATCACCTATACACTACCAATATAATTTTTTTTTACACTGACAACTAGTCATATCTTTTAATAGTGTCATGTCATTTGCTTATTTAATCAAATTAAAATAAAAAAGGCACTATTAAAATATATGATTGGTTGTCAGTGTAAAAAAACTTTACGCTAACAGTGTATAGGTGATTAACTAATAAATAAATATGTAACTATGCAAGGATCATCAACGTAACATGCTTAGAAAAAAAAAACGGGTAAATGTTTCAACACATTATGAGTGACCTCCTCTACATGAACACTGCCCTTCCTTGAAGAAATGGAATCGTTTCCTATCCCTCACAATTATCTCCCTATCAAAAAATTGTGTCACAAGCATTATAAAAGAATGACAGTGAGTGCAGATAAGTGAATTCTTGTTTATGCGTACTGGAGCCATAGTTGGTAAACAAAGAACACCAAATGCAAGGGCCAATTGCTCTGAGTGGTATAATTTGTCTTCATTCTCTTGGTATGGATACCCTCTATTCCTTATTTCAGATATAAGAAACTCCAGCATTTGATTAATCTCATCCTTATCTATCTTCTCTCTTGCAGAGAAGAGATAAATTTTATTTCTTACCTCCATCCAACACTGCCTAGGACTTCTTCTCAAGCCTCTTTCTCTCATCAGCTTGCGAGTCTTGTCACCGAAATCAGGGAGTCCAGCATTGTCATACAAGCTTGCAAGCAGCAAATATATTGCAGGATCAGATGGATCAAGCTCAAGGCATCTCCTTGCCATATCTTCTCCCAGTGGCACATTTCCATGTAAGTTGCAAGCATTTAGTAAAGTTTTATAAATTACAGAATCTGGCTTGAAAGGCATTGTTTCAATGACTCCCATAGCTTCCTCTAGGCGACCACCTCTACTGAGGAGATCAACTAAACACACATAGTGATCCGACTTTGGAGTTATTTCATATGTTTTTTCCATGGAATAGAAATAATCAAGACCCAGATTCAATAAATTACCTTGGCTGCAAGCAAAAATTAGTGATAAGAATGTGAAAGAATCGGGTTTAACTCCTGATAACCTCATGTCATCAAAGGCAGAAAGAGCATCGGATATGTGTCCAGTTGATGTCAACCCAGATATCAAACCATTCCATGACACTGTATCTGGCTCATTTATATCTTTGAAAGCTTTGTAGGCATTGTGCATGTTGCCACACTTGCTGTACAAGTGAACTAGGCTATTTGAAACCGAGTTACAACTCTTGAAACCTGATTTGACAGAGTAACAATGTAGCTGCTTTCCAGTTACCATAGTGCCTAAGCTACCTGCAGCTGATAGAAAACTTGCCAAGCTATATTCATCCATCTTAACCCCATCATTACACATGTGAGTGATGACTTTTAATGCCATTTCGTGATCCCCCCTCTGGTTTAATCTTGCCGCTAAACTTGTGTATGTGATGAGATCTCTATGGTTCATCTTGCCAATAACAGACCATGCTTCATCAGCCATCCCCCCTCCAGCATATGCATCAACAAGAGCATTCCCAACAGCTATGTCTATGTCTGCTTTTGTTTTTATGATACGTCCATGGATTTTCTTTGTTTGAATAACAGATTTCATTTTGCTGCAAGCTCCAAGAATAGTAGACAGTGTAAAGGAATTTGGTTGCACTCCTGCTGCTTGCATCTCAGAAAATAACCGAAGAGATTCTTCTTCTAAACCATGTTCTACAAAACCAGCAACCAAAGAAGTCCAAGAGATGACATTCGGTGAGGCTATACCTCTGAAAGCTTTCACACCATTTGTTGCGGTGTGGGAGCATTTCATGTACATATCAAGCAGTGCATTTCCTGCATAAAGATCATCCTCCAATCCAACCATGATAAGCCGTGAATGAAACTGTTTCCCTAACTCCAATGATAAAACTGAGGTGCTAGCATTCAATAAACTAGCATATGTAAAATTATTTGGTAGAATTCCAGACAGTTGCATATCAAGAAATGCATTAACAGCCTCTCTAACCTGCACATTTTGAACAAATCCAGAAATAATGGTAGTCCATAAGCACACATCATATTCAGGTGTCTGATTTGAGACCTTAATAGCGTCCTCCATCCGTCTGCATTTTGCATACATATCAACAATGGCAGTCTTCAACACCAAATTCATTCCAACACCCAATCTGATTAACTGTGCATGCAGTACTTTCCCATAATTCATTCCCAAACCATGAAAAGAAGACACGCCTAAGAGTTTAACAAATGTGAACTCATTCGGGTAAACACCCGCTTCAATCATTTTGACATAGAGTTGTAGAGCTTCACTCCATTTACTAGTTTCCACCAATGAAGAGATCATTGTTGTCCAAGACACAACATCACCATCCTTAACAAAAGCAAGCAGTTTGTGTGCCTCCACAGTGCCATCACACTTGGTGTAGAAATCGAGCAAAGTGGTACCCAGAACCGGATTCAGCTCTAACCCAAGCTTTACCACAGAGGCATGAATTTGAGCCCCGGACTGAAAGTGTCCCAAGGCAGAACATGATCTTAAGGCACTGGACAAAGTGAACTGATTGGGGCATTGACCAGAACCTAGCATCATGTCAAACAATTGAAGGGCCTCAAAATGATGGTTATTCCTGGTGTGAGCAGAGAGAAGCGTAGTCCATGACACAACATCCTTATGAGGCATTTCATCGAAGAAATGGCGTGCTTGTCGAACTCCAAAGCATTTGGCATACAAGGACAACAAATTGTTGTTCAAATACAAGTCGTGTTGGAGAGCCAGTTTGATGATTGGACCGTGAACACATAGTCCCTCCTGGAGGAAGTGTGAGTTGCAGAGAGAGAGAATGTGCAAGCAAGTTTGGCGGAAGTGGAGTGGAGAAAAACTGTGAGCAAGTGTTGTACTACATAACATCATGATTCAACGTTACTTTTACCACACAGACAGTGTCGTTGTTGGAAATAGCATAGTTACTAGTTAGTTAGTGGGGAACCTTAAACGATGTTGGAAGTTACGTAGGTTGGTTGAATAAAATGGTAAAGTAAAAGTAAGCAGCTTTGGGGTTTGAGGATAAGAATTTTGGAATGGAAAAATCAAGCACATCAAAATTAGTGGATCTGTGGGATGTGGCCACAACGGGGAAGCCACGGAGTTTGGAGATTGGAGATTGGAGACTGGAGAGTCTTCCCATTCCCATCGATGTGGGACTAGACTAGGCTACTCTTTATTTAGGTTTATTTTTTTTTTAATGAATTTGGTTTAATCCGAAGTTACTAGTTCAACCTATTTGGCTCCATATTTTTTATTTTTATTTTTAAAATTATTATAAATAAAATGATCCAATTTGATCTCATTCAAGATCAACGGAATAAGCCGAGTCAGAAAAAATATGATTTATGTGAATGTTAGGCCATATCATCTCATTTTTCATGCATAACTCTATGAATTGAGTAACATTGGATTGGCCTGTATCACAACTAAACTCGAAATTGTTTAATTTTTCTAAACATGCATTGAGCTGATTACTTAAAGGTTAATTTTTTTTTTAGTTCTCATCATTTAAGATATTTTTTTTAAATTTATATACTTGTAATTTTTTAATTTTTTTATTATTGTCATTATTTTTTTTATAATATTATCTTTTTTATTAATTTAATTTATTTTTAATATTTTTAAACATTTATAGTTCTTTGTACTTTTTTTTAATCTATTTTAGTTTCTATAATTTAAGAGAGATTTTTTTCTATTGTTAATTTTTTTTGTTAAATTATCTTTATTGTGTTGACATTTAAAAGTCTTTAATTTGTTTAGGATAAAAAAATGATATTTTAATAATAGACATTTTAGATGAGAGTATAAAAGAAACATAAAACATAAAAAATATAATTTAGAGAAATTCTAACAAATTTGATATTAGACATACAAAGTTGAATTCATATCTTTGTTACGTTAACACGAAATTTTTCTTGTAATGTTATATATATTGTATTGAAGTATAAAGGTCTAAATTTTTTTAGGATAAAAGAAATGATGTCTCATAATGAATGTTGTAGACAAGAGTATAAAAAAAACACAAAATATAAAAAAAAATTATTTTAGAGTAATTTAAACAAATTTGACATTAAACTAATAAAGTTGAATTAATATTTCTATTACATCAACAAAAAATAGATAATATTATAAAAAAAAATTAACAACAATGGCTAAAACATTTTAAAAAAATTATAATATACAAATTAAAAGATTTATCTTAAATCATAAAGATTAAAAAAAGATTGAAAAAAATAAAGATAGTAACCAAAAATATGTATTTTAAATTATAAAAATTGAAAGATAAAATAAGTAAAATTATAGAAACTAAACAAATAGTTTAACTTTAATTAAAAAACTAAGATTTTTTTAATAATACATTAAAAATTTAATTTATGTAGGTCACGACTTATTAAATTATATGAGATTTGGACTTTATTTAACACAATTTTCATTTTTATTTATTATTTAGTCAGAATTATAAAATAATTTATTTATTATTTTGAGTCCATAAACTTATATTTATTAATAAGCTTAATATTGTTTTCCTAATTTAAAGTAAATTTGTTTTTATCTATTAAATTTAAAATGTAATTTTGCAATTATATATCATGAAGAAAAATTGTTTTAGCCCTCGTGATCACGTATAAGCATCTAGTTTTTTCTTTTTGCTCCATCATTAATAAATCCAGAATAGGCTTGCTTGCTTTTTTTTATATTCGTACATGTATATCACTGTCCAAGTGAACAACTTGCTTCCAAATCATACTCGTGAAAAAATTGTTTGTGCCTAATTAGCAGATTAATCAAATCAAATCAAATATTTAGATGGTTAAAAATAAAATTTTAATGATAATCATTTTGAATGCACTTCTTATTTAATTACAGCAACATACTAATATTTTAGGATATATGCATGACTCAAATGACATGAACATGAGAATCTCTTTTCAGAAGTAATAATTTAAAATGCATTTCTCTTTTTATTATTGCAAAAGCCTTATGGTGACAGATTGACAATCCCTATGTTTCCAAAGTTAAAAATGAAGGTTTAATCATTTAGCAAAAACCATATATTTTAGGAACCGCCCCGTACATGATGACGTCTTTAACTATCTTTATCTTCTTCAAATTAAAAATAGAGGTATAGTGATAGATATTTTAAATATATATTCTATTTAGTTGCTTAGGATCGTGTTCTTACTTTGTGGGAAAATAAAGTTCATTCCTCCCATTTAATTATTTAGCAGCTTAGCTTAATTAATATTTAAAATTTTAAAACCTAAAAAAAATCTATCTAATCTTGTTGATGTAACCTATCTCTCTCTCCCTCGATCACTGCTCACATAATCCAATATATCCCTGTAATTAAGTTGGTAAGGGAATCCATCAAATCCAAAGAAGACAATTATGCTGAGGTATGAACCCTAATTTAGGGTGTTTGAGAATGGTTATAATATCGAGTTTTTGCGAGAAAAAAAAATATTTGTAAAGAAAAGTGACTTTTTTTTTAATATACTGTTTTTTTTATTTATTTAAATAACCCAAAGTGAAATATATTTACATAAATATACTATCTAGTTTTGTAGGTGAGAAATCGGTTACTGGGTAACCGATTTCTCAAAGGTCCTTTTTTTTCGTTTTTTTTTTTTAAATTTTTTTTTCTAGATTTATAATTTCTTTTTTAATTTTTTAGTTTAAAATATGAAATTTTAAAAAAATTATAATGAAATTTAAAATAATTAATTTAGTTATTATTTTAAATTTAGATTATAAAAATGTATTTAAAATTAAATTTAAAGAATAAAATTAAATAAAATTAATTTTAAATAGAATAATTTAGTTAAATTTTTAAGTTATTTTAAATTTTTTTATTAATTGTAAATAAAATAATATAGTTAAGTTTTTAGAATAAAAATAAATATACTGTTAAAATAAACTGGATTTGACGAACCACTTCCACCGACCTCAGAGTGATAAGACGAAAATGAAGGGAAATTCATGCTTTGCATGTAATTATATGCACTTTGTGGCGTGTGTACGTCGACGCCAAAAAGATTGCTCATGAAGTCCCCTGTTGGAGTTGTTGTTGATGGTGGTGTGTACATGAATTGTTCATGGTGTGTATGAAATGATGGATAAGACTGAGGATGTTGTTCCACAGTATAAGGTGGGTGATTATCTCCAGCCATTGCGAATGTTGTTGCAGTTGTTGTTGGGAGTTGCGTACTAGAAGTGGATGCATGAGATGAAGAATACTGGCTACAAAGAAATAATTTAGAATTAGCACGAAACCATTGTAAATACTCTGGAGTGTGTTGGAGAGGCCCCTGAAGTGGTTCCCCAAAAATAACATGTTTGCGTCTGTCTTTCCAAATGGAAATCCAGTCTGCATGTTGTTGAGCCCAGTTGGTGTCGCTATGTCCTCTCATGTCTATGTCGTGCAATTTATCAAGATTATGAGCTTCGTTGGGGATTGGTTGCCATAAGCCAAATTGCAATTGGATTCTATCAGTTTGATGCCAGACTACAACTACAAATGAAGTTAAAGCAGTACAAGCAGTCCATATTCTAGAATCCTTATAAGCACGTCGTTGGCAATGAGGACTGAAATTCCCTATATGGCATCCATAGAAACTGCAAAAGAAAAAGGTTAATTATTTTACTTGTTCGATGTAAAAGAGAGTATGTTTGAGAGAAGTTTACATTGTATTACCTCGTTATGGTTCATGTTGTCATATCTTAATCTGTAGCATAGTAAGTCTCCATGGGGCGTCCCTGTAAATCTTAGCCCTCTTCCTGACCACTTAAAACATTTGTACAATTATAAAATTTTAGGTTAAATATTTTACTTGTTCGATGCATTAAAGTGGTATAAAAATTAATCCATACCTTGATGCTAGCGGAAATGTAATATCCTGTTGGACTCTTGGTTGGATGGAGGGCATTCTATACCAAGTCCAAGACTGTAGAAGCAAAGAACATGCACCCATTTTCTTTGAGGATGGATAGATTGCCCTACACAATTCTCTATACAAATGTGCCAAACAAGCAGAACCCCAACTATATCGTCTTGCACGTTCCAAGTCAGCCAATAATGGTAAATACATTAAGTGAATTCTATTACCTGACTTGTCTGGCATAATGACACCACCGATCAACCCTAAGATATATGCTCGACAATGTTGAAGCAATTGTTGTTGAGTGGGTTCATCTGGTAGTGCAATTGTATGATCTCTTAACCATTTGAGTTTTATGGTTGAGCCAACTAGAGTTTCCCCTTTTGGAGGTACGAAGCCTAATAACTCGTAACATAATTCATCCCAGTCAAACAAAGTTGGTCCTGTTACTGGTTTGCCGTCAATCCTTAAACCCAATTGTAGTGCCACATCTTCCAAAGTCACCGTGCACTCACCAACCGGGAAGTGAAAAGTATGTGTCTCAGGTCTCCACCTCTCCACCAAAGACGTTATCAAACAATCATCGATTTTAAAATGTCTTATTTTCGCAACCTCGGCAAAGCCAGCAGCCTCCAACAAATTCTCAATTCTTGGGTCAGGTGTAGGCATGGAATGATAGTAAGATTGAATGAGTTGATCACTTGTTGTCTACGAAAATGGTAGAATTGAAATGTTAGTAAAAGATAATATTAGTTGTAAACATTATGCAATGTATAATAACTTACCATAAGATGAGTATCATTTGACCTATGAAGGTGTTGTTTCCACAACATAGTTGAAGATGAAGAAGACATTCTTGAAGAACAATAGCAACGAAATTCAATACTGCAATAGCTGAAGAGAAATGATCTTTTGTTGTGTGTTTAGGGTTGGATTGTATGTAGTGTATATATAGTGGAAAAAATTAATGGTTGATGCAGAGTCATGAATGCTTGGTACTAGAGCGTCAGAAAAGTTATTGCTTTGTGCAGAGTGTCATTAATGCAGTGTGTCATTGATGCAGGGTTTCATTGATGTAGTGTCCCAGAGCGTCAGAAAAGTTATTACTTTGTGCAGAGTCATGAATGCTTGGTACCAGAGCGTCACAAAAGTTATTGCTTTGTGCAGGGTGTCATTGATGCAGTGTGTCATTGATGCAGGGTGTCATTGATGCAGTGTCCCAGAGCGTCAGAAAAGTTATTACTTTGTGCAGAGTCATGAATGCTTGGTACCAGAGCGTCAG